TGGCCCAACCTATTTCGCATCCTTTGGCATCAAAGTCGCTTGCCAGCGATTTCTACGTAGATGATCTGCTATCTGGGTAGATACAGTGGAATAATTGCGAATACTACGAAATAAGCTATTTTCAGTGCTCGAATCAGAAATCAGCTGTGCTTGCATACAGACGTGTTCTTCTATCGCTGCGCCAAAAACTCCTAATTTGTTAAGTTATTTACAACATTTTACGTACACAGTGCTAAAAATTGCGGGAAGTACAATTACGTTCTTCACAAAAACTGCTAGTTATAAATAAAATTAAAGGAATCTTGAATAAAATAAAATCACAAATTATAGACGTATTGTTGAACCGCGAAAACTATACAAACACATATATCAATACCAACACCGAGGCACTGAGATATAAACATATTTGCATATTTGCATCAGTGCTCAATAAAACACTCAACAATTACTCATCAGTGCTCAACAAATAACTCAATAAAACGAAAAACTTAAACTGAACAACATGGCACCGCAACCTAACAACCGCGCACGAGAAAACACCGTCACTGACCTTAAGGAGGGCCGTCAGTCAGAGGCTATATCGTCAAAAATAATGGTTTTGATAAGTCTCCGTTTTGAGGAACAGGTCAGCCTCATCACTGCCAATATGCGAGATGCTGAGCAGCGCATCCTAAACGCTCGACTGGAGCGTTTCGACCGTATGGCTGAAGAAATGAAGCAGCTACATGAGAGGGTGGATCAGCTTCATGAGCGTGTGAATAACATGGAGCGCGAGGTCGGAGTGCTGTCTTCATTGAGGGAGCGGGTTGGAGTGCTGGAGGTGAAGCTTGCTGCGCAGCTCAACGCCAATGCTGCCTGCGACCTGCGCATACATGGAGGGCGAGAATGTGCGTACTTTGTACAACACCCTCTGTTTCGCCCTAAACACTACACCATCGCCTAGGATACGGGAAATTGTTCGACTAAGAAATAAACAGGTATCAAATGTTGATCACGATATAATCATAAAATTTGAGTATCTAAATGAAAAAACCACGTTGCTGAAGGCAGCCGCAGCCTACCGTCTTCAAAACAAAAAAAAACACTAAGCTTGCAAATGCTGGGCTTTGATTCTCTAGCCCCCATATACATCAATGAGCAGCTAACAAGAGATAGCTATATAATCTTTAAAGAGGCGATAAAGCTTAAATACAGAAACTTCTTGTTGCTGTGTTCTCACGTATCGGCATAGTGCACGTGAAGCTTAGGGAGAACGAGAGTGCGCAGCCCATACAAAGCAGGGACGAGCTTTTACAGCTCGCTCATTTTAATGAGCGTGGATTTCGCTCTGCTTTGTAAACATATGCGAGCTTTTAACAATAATATAAGTTCTAGGCTTAATTTTTTGATAAATTTTTTTTTCAATATTCGTTTTCTTGTAAATGTATTAATTGTGTGCAGATCATCTGTTAGTGCTCTTGATCACTGTATAATGCGTAGGCGTATGATTGCTTTTTTGACTCCATGCAAGATAACTTAAGATATGCTTCCACAGCGAACAGTCATTCTATAATTCGGATTCTATGTAAGCAAAAGAAGGGTCTTCATATTTGTCACCTCAACGCACAAAGTCTAGTGAAAAAAATGGACGAGTTTAGATCTTTGGTTGTCAATTCTAATGTAGATGTAGTGTGTGTCTCTGACACGTGGTTTGTCTCTAGTCTTAATGATCAATCTATATGTTGTTATGGGTATAATGTTTATCGTTCTGTCCGTCTTAAATGCCATGTGATTAGAAAACAGCCATTGGACAGCAATCTGGAATATTTGTTTTTGCATATATCAGGCCGCAAAAATATTGAAAGCATCCTTGTCGGATGTACGTATAGACCGAACAGACACACGGACTACAGTGAAATATAACAATATTGTCCTGGCTGGAGATTTTAACAGCAATATGCTAATCGAGCATCACCTAAAAGATGATATGATCTCTTTTGGCATGAGACTGGTAAATACTATTCTGCCTACACATTTCTCCAACACCTGTGATACCCTCCTTGACGTATTCTTTGTTAATGACACCAATAAAGCGATTCTTTTTGACCAGTTCTCAATACCAGCTTTCTCCAAACATGACATGATTTTTTTGACGTATGATATCTAGCTAGATCAAAATAACCATACAATTACTTATAGGGAATATTGACATTAGGCTACTCTTTGACTACTGTGATACCATACACGGTAAATCATACCATACTTTGCACCAAACTTGAAAGACTCTACCACTTCTTTGACTCCGCTATACAATTAGTCCAATCATACCTGTCCTGTCGCCATCAAGCAGTTGTCACCTCGTGTAGTGTTTTGTCTTTTTTGTTAATAAAACGTAGAGTCCCACAGGGTTCAGTGCTAGGGCCCCTGTTATTTTCTATTTATGTTAATGGCCTTCCATGTTCTGTGTCAAATTGCGATATTCACATGTATGCAGATGATGTCCAATTGTATGTTAGTCGTCCGTTAGATAGATTAGAAGATTGTGTACGTGCTTGTACTGACGATCTGTTGAAAATCAGTTAATGGGCGAGTATAAATGGTCTGGAAGTCAATCCGAAAAAATCTAAATGCCTGGTAATTTATAAAAAGAAAATTAACTTACTTAATCTAGAGAAATTACAATTGAAAGACGAAGCTATTGAATACGTAAGGCAGGCAAAAAATTTAGGGATAATCATTAATGAGACACTATCATGGCACAATCATGTTAATAATGCTGTAGGAAGAACGTATAGTGCACTTAGGTTTCTCTCTTTGACGCAGCATTTCCTCCCAGCTAAACTCAAGCTCCTTATTGCTAAGACATACTTGATACCCTCATTATTTTATGGAGTAGAATTATTCGGAAACGGTGATGCCGTAAGCCAGACCAAATTAAAAGTAGCCTTTAACAGCATTGCACGTTATGTCTTTGATATTAAAAGAAGAGAATCCATAACGGTATACGCCAAACAAATTTTTAACCTGACCCTCAACTCTTGGATTAAACTTAGGACACTAATTTTTATGCATAGAACCATTACTCGAAAAGAGCCGAATTATTTGTATGACAAAATCTCTTTTACCTCATCAAGAAGATAATATTGTTTGCATAAGATATAGATTATCCTGTTCCAAAAAACACTTTTTTATATTTACTGTTCGTCTGTGGAACGAGTTACCGCATAGCTTAAAAACAATCAGCAATGAAACGCATTTTAGAAATAGAATTCATGCGCACTTTCAAGAAAATACCTAAATGTAAATAAAGTAAAGAGCACAATACTAACACTAATACATTTACACTCAGTAGGCAACACTTTTGTACTGATTATAGTATAATAATAATAATAAAAAAAACCAAAAGCACTTTAAATTTATGTTTAACTAAAATGTATCTAATGTAATTAGGTTAAGTAGGCTAATCAAATCACTTGAATTTTAATAATATCTACGGAAACTTAATTGTTGTGACTAGTGCATTAATTTATAAGAATCATTCTTGTAGCACTAGGAATTAATAATAATAATAAATAATTAAAATAAATCGTTCGGTTTCACTCTAACCAAATGGGCATCAAATTGTGAAATGCTGATCGGCCATCAGGAGGACACGAAGACGTTGGGGCACATTTGGAGCCCACGTGAAGACGCTTTCTATATCGAACATGTCCAAGCGCTCGATTTTATCGTTTATATCCAGATTGGCCTACTTTGTCCGATTATCACTCGACCAAAAATTCTGATGCAAGAAATTTGGGAGACGACAAGCTGACCTACTTGCAACGCTGGCAGCTGATCTCAGGCATCAATCAGCGGTTTTGGGCAGACTGGTCCAGAGACTACCTGCTGAGCCTGCAGCAGCGCCAAAAGTGGACAATAGGTCAGCCAAATCTGGAGACCGGAGCAGTCGTGCTCGTGAACGAGGACAATGCGCCGCCTCAGCAGTGGATTCTGGAAGTCGTCCAAGAGACGATAAAAGGCACAGATGGAAAAGTGCGCGTGGCGACGCAAAGGACGAAGGCAGGCGTATTTAAGAGGGCAATTCATCGCTTGGAGCCTCTGCCTGTCGAGCTTTCTTGGCGTGGCAGATCACACAAAGAATATATATTCTTGATCAGCATGACAAGACGAGTCCATCTAGCTCTGTCTGTCTGTCCGTTTGTCAGACTGTAAGAGCTAGAGGCACCAAATTTTGTACAGAGATGTGTGTACGCTGTGCAAGTTTGTTTTATTTTTTTGATTTTCCCCCACTTCCCCCCTATGGGGGTTTTTCCGTTTTTCCATTTGTATAATCGCCTATATCTCGGATACTATAAGAGCTAGGGACACCAAATTTTAGTCCAAGATGCCTTATATGAATACAAAGAAATTATGTTCCCTCCCTTCCCCCTCTCTCATTCAATTAGTGCTCATCCATAACTCCCGTAATTCTTGGAATTTTGAACTCAAATTTGGCAAATACCCCGAGTTAGTGATTACGTGTCCGTATGCCAAGTTTATTATGATAGACAGATTTAACAGGTAGTTATAGCCATAAATATAATTGCTGGCCAAGCGCTGCCCGCGGCTGTTGTTGATGCTGGTGCTTTTGTTGACTGCAAACATGCTCAGACAGACACTTATAGACACGCATAGGCATTCATACACTCACATAGACGCAATTCCTATGTAAATGTGCAATTATACATACTTTACGTGAGTTCAAATACCGAGAGGTAACATGGACTAAAACTTTTTTTTTAATTTTCTTTTTTTTTTAGTTTCTATAATTGTTCTAAACATATGTACAGAGTATTTCAAAGTCGGGACACCCGACTTTAGCTTTTAACTTTTTTCCATAACTTCCGTTATTCTTGAAAGTTTGAATTGTGGGAAATTACCTCATGGAAAGAAGTATATGTTGCATCGGCTAATTATCGGCCGCGGTTTCTGGCAACACCAGCATACATTTATCGGCGCAACCGGTTACCAGTGCCACCTTGCGGTACCGGGAAGTGACAGTGCCAGCTGTTGCGGCAGCAGGCCATGGTTGCTGGAAATGGGAGTAGGAGATGGCGGCAGGAGAAGGATGGGAATAAACGGATGCAAAAGGGTTTTGAAAGAGCCACGCGGTACGCGAGATGGTGGCGGCATTGTTGCTGGTGAATGAGAAGAGCAAGGACGGAGCACGGACACAGACCTGAAAGAATTTTGAATATACCTATAACCTGAAAATAGATAATCATAGACCCAGCAGCAGACGAGCGGCCGCTGGGTCTGTTTATTTTGGACTTATGCTACATTTTGGATATTGGGCAATTGGTAGCCACCAGCACATGCCCAATCGTCCCGCCGACCACGTTTCGACGCATGTTGAGGCTGAATTGACCGCCCGCATCGCCATCATCGTCTCATCGTCGCATCTTCGTCAGCGGCAGCCCGTACAGCCGCGTCTTCAGGGCTATCCCACCGACCAGCGGATTCTGCCGTACCGCCGCCATAGACGACGGAGGATACGTGCCGTAGAAGCCTAAACTGAGTGAGTCTGTTCTGGTACCGCCGCAACCCTGATTCCTGGCCCCATCGTGTGTCCGGTGCTTTAATTGTAAAGAAAAAAAAGGAAAGAGAATTGAATTGAATTAAACTTTAATATGAACATAAGTGTTTACATGTATTTATGCGTACGCTCACCTGTCTCGTGAGGAAATAGCCAAGCTTTGATCTCAGAGTTATGTAAAACCGAATAGGAAGGACAGCCTAGAATTTGTGAGTGTTTGGCCACCTGAGTCATAGGTCATAGCCTGGGCTGCAAGATACACACATTGTTCCACATTTATATACATACCCTTTAATACGCACAACACAACATTTACATACATGTCATAACATTTATACATACATCGGGCAACATTTATATATACATTCATAGCACAACATTCATATACATATCCCAACATTTATAACATATCACAACACTTATATACATATACACATATATACATAAACTAGCAGGTATTGCCCGTCTTAACCCGGCTCAATATAATGTTTCCAATTGTATTTATTTTGTGTGTGCATAACCTACCCATATGTTTTCACCTTATAAGTTACCAGTAGGAAGGCATTTAAGGTATTTAAATGAACATTTTCTGTTCTTGACAAAAAATTGTTCAGTAGTCCGTTACATTTTTGTTCTTGCCAAACTATTTCCTTCAACGAACATGACCACTATAACTAATATTTTTTAAAGCTCGTTTTCCCCCCGTTGGAGCTAGAATTTTCCAAAAGCCTTTCTTAGTGTGCTCCTACACTATGATGGATACTATGAAAAGATACTTGAGTCGAAATTTCATCTTTTACCGTTTGGGCTGTGTGTTGATCACCAATTAGTCAGGACAAACTGTTTTATATATAGAGATAACGCAACGTTTTAAGATAGACGATTTGCAAAAAAGGGGGAATAATTATAAGGGTATATCCTAATTTTAAATTCACATTTGAGCCTTTTCGTGTCATATTGAGTCAATACGATCACGCACAAACTCGGAATATGAAACACGGCACTCGTGTCAATGCCGTGCAGCGATGAGCCACGATCAAAAAGCACTGACAATTCTCATCTCAATTTGCTAGAGTAAAACTTTCGATAGTTGAAGCCACCGATACCATCAAAATATCGAAGTTTGAATGCAATAAGCAGAATATTTAAATAATAAAATCTAATTATTTATTGAGATCAATAAGAACAAATCATACATACATACATCTGCCCGCAATGCGAAGCAGAATATGCGTAGCTCCGTTATTCGGTTTCTGCTTTACTATCGCTTACGCAGTCGTTGCTTAGCGACGGTAACTGTAAACTTTTGGCGTTTTGCCTTTGCAATTAACATTAAATGGTCAAAACGAAAGAAGAAGAGCGAGCCAACAACTTAAAGTTGTTGTTGTTGTTTTGTATGTACATGCATGTGTGTGTACGGTAACTGTAAACTTTTGGCATTTTTCGTATGCAATTAACAGCCGTAAATTATCAAAACGAAAGAATTTTGCGAGCCAATAACTTGTTGTTGTTGTTTTAAAAATTTTGATTTGAAAACATAGAACACTATTTATTACAATTAAACAACAGTGTTCGATGGCCCACTGCATACATACAAACCTATATATGTATATAAGAATGTATGTACGTACATACATACTTATTGATGTACATATGTACATACTATACATACAGACGTATGTATATATGTATGTACGTATGTAATACATATGGTGCTGGTGTAATTCATAATGCGAAATTCTTTCTAAGGGGAGCAATGTCCCCCCTGCCCAACCTGCGTACGCCCTTGTAGTCCGTTGTCCTAAAATCCCTTATGCCAAATGTACTAAACAAAGAAAAAATTACATAAAAATGTTTATGTTATAATGTTAATAATTTTTAATTAATTAACATTTCTTGCCCTGTCAGTGCAAGACGAATGTACTTTTATACATATGTATGTATGTATATATGTACATACATTTGCGCATCTACACCATGATAGGATACTTGAGCCCAAATTTCAGTTTCCTAGCTTTTACCGTTTGGGCTGTGGGGTGTTGATTGTGTTTCAATTTTTCCACGGAAAACCCCCCCTTTTTCATGCCCCAGGAAAAATGGTGAAAAACCAAGTATACAGTTTTTCTTGTATTCTTTTTGAGAGTATACAAACTAAGTTTGAAGTTAATTGGATGAAAATTGTAGATTTTTCATACAAACGTTGGAGCCCGTTTTCCCCCCTTTGGCGTTCGAATTTTCCAAAACCGCTTCTTAGTGCTCACCTACACCACTGAAGACAACATGTGTCCAATTTTCAGCCTCCTAGCTCTTACCGTTTGGGCTGTGCGTTGATTGCACATAGCTTTTCGTTTACCGAATTTTCCACCGGAAAATCATTATTATTCAGGCCGCAGGAAAAATATTGAAAATCCAAGTATACAGTTTTTTCTGTATTCTTTGTGAGAGTATACAAACTAAGTTTGAAGTTAATCGGATGAAAATTGTAGATTTTTCATACAAACGTTGGAGCCTGTTTTCCCCCCTTTGGCGTTCGAATTTTCCGAAACCCCTTCTTAGTGCTCACTTTCACTATAAGAGGGATCTTGTGTCCAAATTTCAGCTTCCTAGCTCTTACCGTTTGGGCTGTGCGTTGATTGCCAATCAGTCAGTCAGTCAGTCAGTCAGTCAGTCAGTCAGTCAGTCAGTCAGTCAGGACAAACTGTTTTATATATATAGAGATGACACAATATTTACATACATGTCATAACATTTCTATACATCGTGCAACATTTATATATACTTTACATTCATAGCACTACATTCATATACATATCACAACCTGTACACAACACACATACATATATACCAAAAAAACATATATTTATCGCACATACATATATTCACCAACATACATTTACGCGCACACATTGGTGCGCATACGTTTGTATTTATTTTATTTTAATGTTTTGTGGTCATTTGTTAAGTAATTTAAATTAATATTGTACACGTCCATACACCGGCACAGATTATAACGATTTGGAAAGAAAAATAATGACGCGTTTTTGCTAGACACGTAGAGTGAGGGGTGGGGGGGGGGGGGGGGGGGGGGGGGGTGATGAACTCACCGACCAGGCCAAAATAAGGAGTAATAACGTAGCTCCATAGTGGGTAGCCACAAACTGTGCTGGCTACAGGATGGGCAGGAGCGCTTGGGCAGGAACACCGAAGTCCACTGAAACTGCCGGAGGAGTTTTTTTTTTGTCGCATCGTAGTTTTTTTTGTTGCACGAGTTGTAATTTCGTAATTGGTTTGTTTGTTTACGTTTATAGTGGTGGATGTTTTCCCGTAACCGAGTAATCGGTATTTGTTCGACTCACGCGGGCATTGGGATGGACTCACGCCCTGATCGGAGTTCCGATGAGCCAGCCGGCGTTGCCCAAGTCATGAAGCGTGGTCGTAACAATATGGCGCCCAATCTTAAGAATTTCGAATTGAATGCCAGGAGTGCCGAGGGCTGACCGTGTGGTAGTGCCTCGAGCGGAATGGGTTCGAAGATATGTTTAGCCCAGATGTAGGTGGGGAAATAGGCTCTGTACCAGATATTGGATTGGGGAGAGTTATATGTAGCCACCGTACGCAGGCCACGGAATTTAAAAGAAAAATAAATTAGCCGATACGAGGGCGCCGTCAAAACTGGTTAGTTTTTTTTTTGTGAAAAGAAATAATTATGGTAAAAATGGACAGAGCAATTCCGGTGGGAGCGCCTCGAGAATGCGTATGTCGCGACGGCTAGATGAAGCCGCTCGCTTGCGACGTATTCATTGCCTGGTGGTGGAAGGCGTAAGCTCCGGGTGTAATAGAGGGAATAGGCCCATTTTTATTCACACTTATTTACTGGTTGGCTTGGGTTTTTTTTTTGTGTTTTGTTTTCATAATTTATAATATGTTTTTGGTGAATAGTTAATTGCAGTGTTATTTTTGAGTGTGCCACTTGGCTTATTTGTCTTTGTGTGCGTTGACAATGTGGTCCGTGTGCCCTAGAGGCTTTTAAGTGTTTCAGTGGCCCAGGCGACAGAAGTTGTTACCTGCGATGCACTGGCACTGGCATGGGGGATAATGTTAATGGCAGATAAGAATAAATTTGTATCCAAAGAGGCATGTAAAAAGGTGAGATCTCTTCATTGTCATCCATCCAGATGAGGATGAATAGAACAGTGGATAAAATTCTCGCGATACATTAATAAAATATGAATCTGGCAAAGTATGTAAAGCGCAGAAAGGAGCGGCTGTTGGTTCCGGTCGGAAAAATGATGAATTTCCTCCCCTCATTGAATTAGTCAAACGTGAGAGTTTGTTTTGAATATCGTGTTTGAGTGCAAGTTTTTTTGAAATAGAAAGAAAGAAAAGAAGATAGCATTTTTTTGTGTTGTGTACATTTTAGGGAGTTTATTGGTTTAGTGCAGGTACATTTTTATGCGTATATACATATATATTTTTTGTTGTGTATAGTGCAAATTTTGTCTTTTTTATATATTATATAATTTATAATTTTTGTCTCATCGTCTTATTTAAATATTTATTTCGCATACAGCATATATATATTTTCTTTCGCATAATTTACTTTTGGGCGTTGTGTACAATTATATACAAATATCATTTTATTTTTTTTTTTGGAATATAAAAATATACGTGTTTTGGTACACAAAATTTAACCGCAGCGGTTTGTTTTGCGAAATATTATACAGATAATAAATAATATAATATGGAGCAGGACACGCATCGTGAAGGGCGCTCGTATAATACGAGGGCGCAGGCAGCTCGAGATGGTGGGCTGATAGAGCTCGATGAAGGTTCGGAAGCGGGCGCTGTGGCGGCGCGGCTTGGCAGTCTGCTGCGAACACCGCCCAGACAGCATTCGAGGCAAGAGGAGCGACGTGATGGCACACCGGGGCGCGTCGATAGCGAAGTGGCGTCAGCGGTAAATGTTGCCATCGCACAGGCCAACCAAACCTATCGGCATGCGCAGGTGGACGGAGTAAGCCAGGTGCTGCAGGAGGAGATTCGAAAAGGCTTCCTGGAATTAATGCGAGCGGTTAACGAGGCATTGCTACCGGTCAGAACAGGCGTGGACTACGTACCTGAATTGCGCGCCGAGCAGCAGGTGTCTGATCACGTCAGCAGAGGAGCAGTCCCGAAAAGGCCTGAGCCAAGGCAAAGCGCAAGCAGGGCCCAAACACACGACGGCTTGAGCCGAGAGTATAGGCGGAGCGACAACACGTCGAGCAGCATGGACGGCAGGAGGGAAGCGGCTGCGAGGAGCTGGCGAAATCCGTGGAGCGCTCAGCGGCCAAGGCGCGTAGATGTCCGGGGCCACGATGATGCGCGGCAGGCTGATCCACCCCCACCATACGTTCAAGGGAACGAAAGGTCGTCTTGGGGCCGAGTTGAAAAATGGGGCCTATCGTTTGATGGCGACAGACATAAAATGGCTGTGGAGGATTTCGTGTTCCGTGTGGAGTTCTTACAGCGGTAGTGCAGATGTTCCTGGGCTGAAGTTTTGAATAATTTTCATCTATTGGTGAGCGGCAACGCGAGAGAGTGGTACTGGCAATATGTGCGTGACCACAGGGCCGATAGCTGGCAGGACTTAAAGCATAGCCTGATCGCTCGGTTTAGAGGCGCCGCCGATGAGTCCTAGCAGATGCAAGAGTTGCGCGAGAGGCGACAAAAGCCCACAGAAAGCATCGAGGACTTCTTCCACGCCATGAGGAAGCTGGCATCACGTTTGCAATCACCGCCAGCCGAAGCTGAAATGATAAAAATAATCAAAAAGGGGCTGCAAGTCGAAGTGGCGCGGTATGTTTACGCTCTTCGTGTGTATAGCGTGGACCATCTGCGTGACGACTACGTTGAGGTGGAGGCAACAATGGAGCGGCAGGATGGAACGCCTGCATACCGCAGTGGTTTTAGAGCTGGTCCCAGTGGGCGAACCAGGCCCGTAGACGAGTTGGAGGCCGATTGTGGAGGCCCTGATGCAGCAAACGACGTAGCCGTAGAAGAGGCGCGAGTCACCAGGCGTGTACAGCTGCAGCTAAATTGCTGGAACTGTGGCCAAGCAGGGCATGGTTTCCGCGATTGCATGGCGCGAGAGCGGCGTATATTTTGCTACCGCTGTGGACGACCAGGCACGTATAGTCCGCAGTGTCCGAGCTGTACGGGAAACGGGCGGCGGAGTGCGGTACCAGTGGGCGAATCGCGCTCGGCAGCTGTGCCCACACCATCAGCTGGAAGCCGAAACTAGAGCAGAGCGAAGAAAATATTAATCCTAGGTATAAGGGGAGAATTAGAGGTTTGCCGATGGAGGAGAGGATGCGTGCTTACCTAGAGGCGCGAAACAGGATATTTCATCAGCACCAGGTCGCCGGAATGCGGATGCTCACCACCAGCGTTGTGAAGGCGAGAACGCGGTTTAAGAAGAGGCGTCAAACGAAGCGACAAGTTGCGGAAGCAGTGCAGCGTGGGGCGAGTAAGGATGCTAGGGTATTTGCCGAGGTCAAGGTGAAAGGCCGCCAGATACGAGGTCTGCTGGATACCGGCGCGTCGGTGAGCATCCTTGGTAAAAATAGCCGGTAATTGCTGCAGGAGCTGGATACACGCGTGCAGAAGTATGCCTCACAGGTGCGGACAGCATCAGGTGAAGACCGGTCCATTATTGGACGAATCCGGGTGCCTGTGGAGTATAAAGGTATGGTTAGAGAAATGACATTCTATGTATGCCCGTATTTGGAGCAACCTATGTACCTGGGAGTCGATTTCTGGCGAATGTTCGAGCTGGCACCAGCGGTTATTCCTCCACGTGAAACTGGCATCGCTAAAAGCTGCTTGGATGAGATTTTGGCTGAGCGAGTGGCGCATTACGTCGATGACGAAGACCCGAAACCAGAGCCGGAAATGTGGGATCTGGAAGATTGGCAAAGGAAGGTTGTGGAATCGGTAAAGGAGGAGTTTCTGACATTTGAAAAGGCAGGATTGGGAAAGACCACGGCAGAGACCCATAAAATTGAGCTGGTTGAAGGAGCGCAGCCTGTGAAGGATAGACATTACCCATTGTCACCCGCGATGCAGGAGTTGGTGTGTCTGGAGGTTGATAGTATGTTGGCGTTAAGGGTTATCGAGGTGAGTAACAGCCCGTGGAGTAACCGCACCACCGTAGTGCGACGGCCGGGTAAGAACCGCTTTTGCCTCGATGCCCGAAAGCTCAACAAACTCACGGTTAAAGACGCGTATCCACTGCCGTGTGTAGAAGGCATATTATCGGGGCTGGATCAAACGTTCTATATTTCCAGCGTCGATCTGAAGTTCGCGTTCTGGCAAATTGAATTGGACGAATCCAGTAAGGCGTATACGGCGTTCACAGTGCCTGGGCGACCGCTGTACCAGTTCCGAGTGATGCCATTCGGCCTGTGTAACGCAGCGCAGAGGTTATGCCGGCTGATGGACAGGGTCATTCCCACAGAGCTCAGGTCAAACGTATTTGGATGACCTCGTCATATTCGCGGCGGACTTCGAGACACACATGGACTACCTGCGGAAAGTAGCGAAATGCTTGAGAGAGGCGAATTTGACCATTGGACTGCAGAAGTCCAATTTTTGCTTTAAATCTCTAAAGTACCTCGGGTATATTGTGGGAGGAGGCACATTGAGAACGGACCCAGAGCGAGTGGTAGCAATACAGCGCATTCCAGTACCGCGTTCGGTGCGTGAGGTACGGTCGTTTCTAGGTACTGCTTGCTGGTACAGGAGGTTTGTCAAGAATTTTTCTAGCATGCAGCGCCGCTGACTGATGCACTGAAGAAACGGGCCGGAGGACGATTCGAGCTGAATGATGAGGCCAGGGATTCATTCGAGGCACTGAAGAAGTCGTTGATAACGGCGCCGGTACTCGTGCATGCCGATTTTGGCCGAAGATTCTTCGTGCAGTGCGACGCGTCGCAGGCGGGCGTCGGGGCGGTGCTATTCCAGCTGGACGACGAGCAGAATGAGAGACCAGTAGCTTTTTTTTCGACCAAGTTCAACAAACACCAGAGCAACTATTCCGTGACGGAGAAGGAATGCCTAGCGGCGGTCCTGGCGGTGCAGAAGTTTCGGCCATACATCGAACTCATGCCGTTCACTGTCATAACAGACCACGCCAGCCTGAAATGGCTAATGTCGCTAAAGGACTTGTCCGGACGATTGGCGCGGTGGTCGTTATTGTTCCAG